TGTGAATGTGTAATAAATATGTAAAGCTCTGCATAAATTGACAGCGCTATATAAGTACCTGTAATAAATACACATCCAAGGGGTTAAAACAAGCTCACTGCTGCTGCTAAAGTGCTATTGATTTCTAGAGCCAGTGAAAGGCTGCACTAGAACCACCAGATCACTTTTACAGGGTCCTGAAGGACAAACCAATTAGAGTGTTTCTAAACCCACAACAGTAAATCAGTCAGTAGATGCAGTAAAGCATGCTTGTTATACTCACTGTGGAACCTAAGGAGTTACTCGTCCGCATTGTGTAAAAAGGCTATTTTAATTCTGTCTTCTCTGATCCTCCCCTTGTACTGTCCCCATTTCTGGATAGAACAGAGCCTTGTGGGCAAGCTGCACATGCTCTGTTTGGTATGTATTGCTAGAGAGTTTTTTTTTTTTGTGAGGGTGCATGTGATTAGTACAGGGCCAATCAGCACTGTCCAGACAGAGGGTCAGGGGTTCTGCAGTCTCCTAGAACAGTGAGAGGAGAATGAAAACTCCTGATACAAGCTTTAACCAGTGGTCTACTGAACACTGATAAAAGTTACAAGACTGCTCTAACTGATGATGGGGAAAAAAGGTAATTAACAGTTTATATTTACTAAAATAATAGCATTTCCATGTTGTGTGTACTGTGGGAGACCAGATATAGTGAATGCAGGGTCCTGGGTTTAGTAACACTTTAACTCTGACCAGGGTTGTTAAAGTGATCAGCGTTTATTCATTTATACCAAAACGAAGAAGACGGTTTTCTGTAACTGCTTAAAAAGTATTACTTTCTGCATTTGTTTCTTTTATTAGGCTTTTTTTTTCACCTGGTGATCCAGCCAGTAGCGTACTTTGTCTTAGAGTATCTCCACTCTGGATGAAGGAGCACTGGAGCTACCCATGAACAGCAGCATTGTCAGTCTAAGGTGAGGTGTTAGATACATTAGCAGATTTAGATGGACTTTACTAACAAATTAAAGCCAAATTCCAGCTAGCACTTTCTAAGCAGGTACAGCAAACAGTTTTTTGTTCCTTTTGGGAAAAAGGTTTTACATCCCTGTAACTGATACATCTGGAAAAGCACTTGATCTATTGAAAAATAAAAAGACTTACTGGCAGGATCACCAGGTAAAATTAAAGATGAGAAAGCCCAGAAAAGAAAAAAAATGCATCCATCACATCTAATAATTGGTAAGCTACAATATAATAAATCTTTGCTTTTTGGTTTAATACCACTTTAAAGTGTAACTCAAGGCAAAACTTTTTTTTAGAGTTGGATAGAGTGGCGAAGAGTTAAAACTACTGTCAGCTTTTTATCACTTTTTGTGTCTCTGTTAGTCCTCATGCACACTGGACGTTTTTACAGCGGCTGTTTTTGGCTTTTGACGTTTTGTTTCTACAGCCAGTAAACTCCCCAGCATGTTCTCCTATGTGTCCCTGCACACATAGACTGTAATCAATGTTTTTTGACTGGGGTGTTTTTTTGGCTGGAAAAACCTCCCAGAACTAGAGGGTTTCTAGAGGAGTTTTTTTTAGCTGTAAAAAACACTCTAATGTGGCAAATTGAAGCAAACCAGTGTTTTTGGACTTTTCTTGACCAAAAAACAAAAAACTTCTAAACACAAACGCGAAAAAAAGCAGCAAAACGCAGCTAAATGCTAATACAAAAAGGCTGAAAAACTCACATTTTTAACGTGACTTTACACAGCTAACGTTACCAGCGTTATTATAACTTCCAGTGTATGGAGCCTTAAGGAGATTCACATTCTTATTGTCCTGATCACCAATGTCACTGGAATTGAAAGTAATGGTACAGACAAAATTTTGAGTTGGCACAACTGTCTAAGTGGGGGTTTCTCTTACATTCGAAAGATATCCCTTCACTTCCTGTTGAGTCTGAAGGTAAATCTCTCTAATAAGACAAGAATGACAAAAAACTAACAATAGTTTTAACTTCCACCTACTCTATAAAAAAAAAAAGAAGTTTGGTTTTAGATGTTCTTTAAACATCATGATAATGAGTAATATGAGATTTGAAAATTGCAATTAAATGGCTGAAAATAAAGATGCTTATCGTTGTATAAAGCTTCATGCATTAAGCCTGGTTTTATATACTCTGGCTGTATTTAAAAATACATTTAATCATTTTAATGCATAGATACTGGATTACATGCCTGAATTTTAGTGTTAATGGATGAACTAGTTTTTCTTTATACCAATACTCCTGCTAAATCTGGGTATTTCAGCTGCATTCCCATTTGATCGCTGTAATACTGCAGCTACTCTCATCTAATAAAAAATCCATTACACTGGCTTTCTAAAAACCCTCTTGAATCTGTTTAGGCCTGTAATTTTGAAGAACAAAAGCAAAGTACAATGTACCAAATGTATTTGTATGCCATGTTCTGTACTCTGTGATCTGCCACTCCCACTCGAGAGTCTTGTTCCCAAACATTTCTACAGATAAGCAAATGTATAACAGTGACTCTAGTAACTGGTCACAAACAGTTTATAGTATAATGTTATACTGAAACAAGGGAGCTTTTGTTCAGACTGACCACTATTGTTCTTGAAATTTGAGAATACTTGGTTCCTGTTTTCTGGAACTGTGGGAGCATCCCAGAGAAGGGGAATATATGTAGCATGCCCGGTCAGTTGCTTGTCAACTGAGCTGACAATGCTGGAAGAATTTGGAACTTGCTGCCAACAAAATGTATCCCACATGCTATTCTTCATTTACTACTGAACCTTGCAGTAGTGACTCTGGGAATCTATATTAGCTGGGGTTTTTCAAATAACTCAACCACACAAAATGGGTTAATTAAAAATGTAACATTAAAGCAGTAATACACCCCAAACATAAAATGTATTCTATTGCAGATTACCAATCATTAGATGTAGTGGTTTTCTTTGCTTTTTTTTCCATCTGTTTTTACCTGATGATCTGGCCAGTAACACCTATCCAGTATTAGTGAGACACTACTCTGGAGGAATGAGCAAGGACACAGCAGACAACAGCATTGTCAGTCTGGGGGGATTGAATGTTTGCAGATTTGAATACAAATAATACATTGAAGCCAAACTCCAGCTCACATTTTATAATAAGTTACAGCAAACAATTTTGTTCCTTTTGGTATAAAGGTTTTACATAAATAAATAAAAGATGATTTTAATCACCCCTGCCAGTGGTAAATGGATGGTCTCATCCAGGTAAGCTGATACTCTGCTGGGGAGCTTGAACTTCTGAACAGTAGCAGACTTGCTGGCTGAATCACCAGGTGATAGAAAAGAACACCTAAGGCTTCATGTACCCATGAACTCACTTAGATGTTTAGCTCTCCTGGCAGCAGAAAAATGCTAAAGGTCACCCTCACTACACCCCGCCAATCTTAACAACCTATCTTAACAATCTATGACCCATCTCCTTACTCCATTTTTCCTTTAAACTCCTTGAATGCCTGGTCTACAACCAGCTGAGCAACCACCTCACTGAGAATATCCTTCTTGATCCACTTCAGTCTGGATTTCGCTCTAAGCACTGCACAGAAACTGCTCTCCTCAAACTTAAAAATGTTCTATGGCTAAAACCAATGGACACTACTCTGTACTCTCCTACTCCTGGATCCTACTTTGACATAATGGATCTCTCTGCTCCTTGGTCTCCATGACTGTGCTCTTCACTGGTTCTCATCCTACCTATCCCCCTAAACCAGGGGTAGGCAACCTGCGGCTCTCCAGCTTTTGGAACTACATTTCCCATGAGGCATTGCAACATTACAAAACTGACAGTTACAGCTATCTTGCAGGCATGATGGATTTTGTAGTCCTGCAACAGCCCGCAAGTTGCCTACCCCCCCTACACCTTCAGTGGCCATTACAATTCTACTTCCTCTTCTCCTCTTCCTTTCTCCATTGGGGTTTCCCAAGGTTCTGTTCTGGGACCCCTCCCGTTCTCAATCTGCACCTCTTCCCTGGGTCAATTGATTGCCTCCCATGGCTTTCATTACCATTTCTATGCTGACGACACCCAAATCTATCTCTCTACCCCATAGCTCACTCCATCAGTCTCCTCATGCATCACTAATCTACTAACTGACATATCAGCCTGGATGTCACACCACTTCCTGAAAATTAATCTATCCAAAACTGAGCTCATAATATTTCCTCCCCTATGTGCCCCTTCCACTGATCTGAACTATCCTTTTGGCCCCGCATCCAATCGCTGTCCAAAGCTTGTCGCCTCCACCTCTGCAACATCTCCAAGATGTGCCACTTCCAAACCAATAACACCACAAAACTTCAATCTCACTCCCTGGTCATCTTCCACCTTGACTACTGCAACTCCCTCCTCACTGGCTTCCCTTTGCATAGGCTATCCCCCCTCCAGTCCATCATGAATGCTGCTGCCAGACTCATCCACCTTACCAACCGTTCAGTGTCTGCCACCCCTCTTTGCCTGTCCCTCCACTGGCTCCCACTCACCCAACATAGGACAGATAGGCTTTTTTGAGCTGAGTTCTAGAGCTTTGGCCAAAAGCTTCTAAACTCACATTTTAGGAGGAGTAGTAGTATACACAAAGCCTTAAAAAAGAAACTAATGCAGCCATCACATCACATCTAAGAATTGGCAAGCTGCAATATAATAAATATTTTCTTTTGGGTTTATTACTACTTTAAAGGATAAGTTCTCCTTTTATAACATGTTACATGTTACACCCTTATTCAAGGTGTAACATGTTATGATCAAACCAGCCCCCGCTTCCCCACTTCTGTCCCCTTGCTAGTTGGCAAAAAAAATGTGGCCGTGCGGGATTCAACCCGCCCGGCCACGTCACTATTCACTGTGTTCTGTGAATAAGAAACTTCCCAACAGCCTTAGAGGCTGTCAGCTTGTAGTTTTCAATGAACTGTGAAGCGCCATGGTAGTTCATTGAGTCTTCCTGTCAGTATATCTGCTTGTCCGTGCATCTTGTATGGGCAAGTAGATATACTGACCAGGGGCAGACTGACCATTTGGAAACTCGGGCACTGCCCGAGGGCCTGGGGTCAGTAGGGGGCCCCATGAGATGCCCCTGGTACCTTTTTCATAGTCTTTTTTGCGTTTGGGCAAGGACATGGGCCCCATTATCCCCTATTGCCCCGGGGGCCCCATGAGTTGTCAGTCTGCCCCTGATACTGACAGATCTGTAGGAGACCTGCATGGCACCAACGGAGCCATGGTTTACAGGCTCCTGCAACAAAAATTATAAATGCACATTTTTTCACCTGCAAAAAATGTGCATTTATTATTTTTTTGTAGAAAGGTAAACTTATCCTTTAAGGGCAGCTTCACACTACCCCACTGCGCTTTTGCTAAAGAGCAGCTAATCTGCAGTTTTCATGTGGATTAGCTATGCTTTCCCATAGACTTCTATGAGGTACTGCAGTTTTGTTGCAGTTTCAGACAGAGCACCAAAACTCCTGCGTGCTGCATTTTTGGTGCTCTATCTGAAACACCAAAACCATGAGACATCATAGAAGCCATAGAATTGGAAAGAACAGCGGGACCGCAATGGTGCAGTGTGAAGCTGGAAGCTGAATTCATGCTTCAGGCTGATTCAGCTGTGAGGAGATGAGTAAATTCATGTTCACTGATCTCATCCTTCTTTCCATTTAAAATACCCCTGCAAAGTTCGCAGTCTCAGAGAAAAGCAAGATGAGCAGAGGAACTATGAGGGAGAGCAGACTTTACAGGGGGTTTTTTTTTGCCAGGCAGCTGCCAATAGCAAGTGGAGTACATGGTAAAACGTCCTAGGGAGAACACTGGAGATGCCTTTCAACACCTGTGAGGGACTTTTTAGAGACATAAATTATAGCAGCTATCTGAAAAATCAAAATTCTAAAATTTTTTTTCCAGTACAAGAAAAAATGTTTTTGATTAAAAAAAAAACCCAACACATAAAATAGTGCACTATACCAATATAATGGTATAACAAGGAATACAAGGATATGACCTCTAAACTAGGCCCAGCCAATTTTTCATATAGCTGTTATTATTTATGTACTTTTGTTAATTTTTCTGTTGAGAATATATCCACTTGAAGACCAAGCTTTTTCTGACACTTTTTGTTTACATGTAAAAATCAGTAAAAAATATATAATGTTTGGGAGTTCTAAGTAATTTTCTAAGGCCCTAGAGAATAAAATGTGTTGCTATTTTTTATGTCGCACAGTATTTGCGCAGCGGTTTTTCAAATGCAATTTTTAAAAATAAAATACTTTTTTGAATTTTGATGTACAAAAACATATAATACCCAATTGTATAGTAAAATATAAAAGATGTGAATTGTTTGGTATCTATTTACTTGGCATAACAATGACAAATGACCTAAATTTTATTATCCATAGGTGACGCTTTAAAATCCTTTTACAGGTCACCACTTTAGGATTGCAAAGGAGTTCCGATACTAGAATTACTGTCCTTGATCTGATGTTTGCGGTACTTCACATGTGTGGGGCAGTCGCTGTTTGGCACATGTGGGACCGATGTGTGTGTTCGCCTTTGCATGCGAGCATGGGGGGGGGGGGAGATGGGAGGCGCTTTAAATTATTTTTGTATTTGTTTGTTTTTTATTTTCTACACGGTCTCTTTCATTTTTTTTTTTTTTTTTTTTTGATCACATGTATTGTTATCACTGGGAATATAAATATTCTCTGTGATAGCAATAGGCAGTGACAGGTATTCTTTACTTTTTTCTTCCTCCTCTGCCCTTCACAGCATCTGATCACATCAAAACCAGGGTGATTAGATGTTTTCCCTTTTTTAAAAGGATGTTTAAATCCGATGAACCCAGAAGTGAGGAATGCTCATAGCTTTTGGTGTCTGAGACCATAGAGATGGGAAAACAGAACCCGAGAGAGCCGCGGAAGGCATCATTCCGGTATAACGACCTAAAGTTCAGTGATGTACCGGTATATAGTCTGCCTGAAAAAGACCAAAGTCCATCTAGTTCAACTAAAAAAAAAAAAAAAAGTTCTAATCCTATACCCACAGTTGATCCAGAGGATGGCAAAAAAAAACCCCAGCAAAGCATGATCCAGTTTGCTCCTGCTAGGAAACAAATCATTGGTCGTCAAGTGTATATATAAATAATATGGTACATTTCATTGGAGTATTCATGGGGTTGTCAGTTAGAAACCTGGAACTCCCAGAACATCTTTCTAGATCAAGTTGCAAAATGTGTTATCCAAATAACAAAACAGAAAGGCACAGACTACTAAGAAACCCTATCAAAAAGTTCAAACCTACTCTACCAAACATTTTGTTTTTGTTTCTGTATCCATTTATGGGATTTTATTTCCTAAGGAGAAATCTCTTCAGTAGTAACAGAGGTAAACTATAATAAAAATTCTAACCCATCTAAATCAAATTAGGCTTTGCTTGGATGGTGGAGAACATTTACAAAGGGACAATTCTAAGTCATTCTAAGTGTTTGGAAAAGGTTTCTGACAGCCAAACAACAATTCCTGTATGCCATCAGTGCACCTTTTGCACACACGTGTTGCATCACTGCTTGACAGCATGTTAAGCGAGAAAAGACCACTGTGACTCTCTACATGAACAATGGCATACATTAGTGTGTGTGCATGGCATGATTTAAACTTGCAGATAATGAGGTGGCGGAGACTAGAACTACATGAGGTAGAATTAGTAGTCATCCAGTAGCTGTTTTTCTATTACTTCTTGATCTCCTGGTTACCGTACCTAATGATAGCATTCACACACCAGTGTGAAACTGATGGATTCTGTATTTCTATTAACGTTTCTCTACATAGGCAAAGCAAAAATGCACTTAAAGAAATTCAGTCACCTGCACTGCTTTAAAATCTAGATTTATAACACAGCACAGTTATGCCTATTGGGCATTCCTGAATGAAGGTTCAGTAAAGGAGCCATAGACACAGAGGGGTTTCTTTACTAAAACTGGAGAGTACAAAATCTGGTGCAGCTCTGCATAGAAACCAATCTGCTTCCACTTTTTGTTTCCAAAGCTTAAGGTCCCGTTCACACCTGAGTATAGCATTTTTGTGCATTTTCGTGCGCTTTGTCACACGCATTTGCAAATGTTTGTGTATGATTTGTTCAGGTGTTAAGGGTTTTTGGGTTCTGCTGGTTTTGTATTGGCCAAAAAGAGAAACATTTCATCGGTGACATTAATTGTTGCCAGGTTTTGCCATGCCAGAAAAATGCTCTTGGTCGAAACAAAATTCACTAAAGCGCATGAAAATGTGTGATTTGCACATTTCGATGTATTTATGGGAATGAAAAACGCAGCAATAATGCATCCATCTGCCCAAATACAAAAGTAGCTCCAAAAGTTTTTGGAGCTTCAGGCAACTTGGAGTTGAGATGTAGACCATCTTCATAGAGTAATAATATTGATTACTGATGTGAATGGGGCCTAATTGGACATAGAAGCTGATTGACCCCAACGAAACAACTAGACATACAGGCACAGATTTACTTTCCTTAGGCACCCTCTCTACCAGCATATAAATAGGTCATTGTACGTATTTCTGCTGTTGTATTCATTGCACTGTGTGACACAGACAGTTACAGGCTTCCTAGGATGGGAAGGGTTTAACTATGCTAGACTCCTCCCTGGCTTTCTGGGTTCTGCCCTCTGCTGTAAGCCACATAACTACAAGGGGAGGGCACAGAGCTATGGGCTCTTCCACATGGGATTTCAGAGGAAGAACTTCTGCAACATGTAAGTCCTGTTGAAGCACATGGCCCCCTTCTGGGTCACCTTGCTGGGATTCTCCCTGGACTAGGAACCTACCAATACTGGACCTGTACTGAATGGACTTTGCTTATGAACCTAGGCAGCCTGCATTAGTTAGGATGGATTGTGTTTCATGTGTGCTGTGCTGTTGGAACTGTGTTGCTGAATCTTCAGTACAGCTGTTAACTGTTGCAAGCATGGTCTAAAGTTACTCCAAAGGGGTGTATGATGGTTTCTGGCCTACGACAAAACAGGGCCTGTAAAGCACACATGGGATACAGAAGCAAGGCCACTACAAAGAAATAACTCTGCAGAAGGTGAGATGGAAGAGAACAGTTGCTGGTGGTAACCAGGGAATGGTAGAAGGTGTACAGGAGCCAGTCATGAAGTGAGGTACCTGGTGTGATGATGGGTCCTCTGGAAAGCAAGGGGATCAGTGTTCTGACTTCCTCCCTAGCGATCCGTTCCCAAAAAGTCACAGGAGCAAACCCATGTTACGGAAACCCACAGCCTGGCCGCATCGTACAGGAGAGCAGCAAGGGTTAATCAAGTGTACACATAAGGTCTGCACTAGGTGCACTGCAGGACCCCTTTCTGTCACAGGGAGTGAGGTTATAGTGGTACACTGGAAGAGTGGAAAGGGTTTAGGATCATCGGTGTCTCTCTTAAATGCATTTCCCACAACTACACACAGTGCATGTCTCATTTCCAAGCTGGGGTGCTGCCATAATGTTTCACTTTCACATGAATGTGGTTCCCACCTGGTCCGGGGATTTGAGAGAACACGAAAGGCATAAGGTACCCTATGTGGGTAGGTGTGGCCCCATCCAGAACTTGGCGTAGCCGGCAGGATATGTCGCCTCATGCCCATAATTAGCATATATTTTAAAATCGCATTCTGCTTGAATAATTGTTTGGGCTGTTGAGGGATCCTGATGAGGTACACTGCAGGCAGCATGGACACTTTCTGATCCCAGGACAAAAATACTGCTAGAACCTGGTTTTTGAAACCTGCCTGATTACTTCTTCTCTTGAGATTCTTTGGCTTGTGGCATTGACAGATGCTTTTGAGATTTGAGATCCCCTCCTTTCAAAAATTACCAGATCTAGGTACCGATTTCCAAAATAATAAAGTTTGAAATCCATTAGCCATACAATGTGAAAACTTGAGTGCTCCCACTGCAATCAGTCTGCCCAGAGAGGAGGGAGACTGCGTTGAGAGACGCTACTCTTGTGCACGTTGCTGGATCGGATTGGGCTCAGGTAAGAAAAATGGGGGGACTGGTGGAGATACAGCAGCACAGAAGGTTTTTCATCTTAATGCATATAATGCATTAGGGTGAAAAATCTTAAGGCTTTAGAACCACTTTAATGGTGGTGTTCCCATCACCCTCTTTAATGTTTTTGAAGATATGGGGCACAGCAAGTGTGGGTTATACTTTAAATGTTTTTGTGGTGGTTATTTAACTATAGCCTGGTTTCTAGGTGACTAATAAATGTTAGAATACAAATGATTTACAGACAGTGTTTTAATGTAAAGTCATTTTATGTCTTAGTTAAAGCTCAACAAAACCTTTTATAGAAATTGTTTATACTGTTGATAGGTC